TCTTTTGACAAAAATACAATTAGAGCTAGAGCTGTTCACATCTTCCTACCCAAATCATAAAACGATCACAAAATTGTAGACTATATTCTCTTACCACAAAACAAAGACAACTAAGCTCCAAGAGTCAGCAGAGCCCTATGAACATCCCCTGTGTCCCTAGCAATGTCTGAAGGTGAGGTCCTGGGCACTTACATTCCTGTTGTCATGCGGGTTAGGGAAGGGAGGTGGCCGTAGAAGTGTTCTCATTTACTTAGTAAAAGAATCTAAGAGACAGAATGCAAATGCAATGTACAGACTAGATTCTTATGAATCCTCCAATCTCCCAACACTTTTTGAACTGAAAAACAAAACACAAAATCTTCTTAAGGACAATTTTGATAACAGGAAATTGTTTTTTAAAAGGTAATTTTAGCCTCTTAAGCACACACTTGATTTTCTTAACTCTACAAGACGATTTTATCAATTGTGTAATTTGATGAACTTTTTAACTCTCAGGTACACAGTGTAAGCAGCCCTCCATAGAGGATTACCCTCAGCACTAACACAGGGGATCCCTGTCTTCTGAGAGGCTCTCCAGGTGACTGACAGTTGTAGTTGGTCCTGGTATAAGTTGAATACCTCCTTACTGCCTGCTAGATATACAGCAGTGTTCTCAACAGTAACTCATAACACTAAACAACTGAGACTGAAACACAGCAAATCACGTGCCGCGGCATTTTATGAAGTATATACGAATGAGCATGCTTCAAAAATTTTGTGGAAAAAACAGGCTTAAAAGATAATGAAAACTTTCAGAAAGGCTTTGAAGCCTCCTGATATTCCTAGCAAAAAGAAAGAAAGAAAAAACAGACAGTCATAGTAAGTCAGGGACTACCTGTACCACTTTATAGGACTAGCAGTACTAGTGTGGCACTGTAGGACAAAGCACTGGGCTGCAAGGTTGGCAGTTCAAACTCACCAGTCGCTCCTTGGAAACCACGTCAGAACTGATTCAACAACACTTAACAAGAGATGAAAATTGGTTTCTCGATTTTAGGCAATTAACAAAATTTTCCTAAAACACAATGACTTTAGATTTTCTAGAAACATGTTTTATATATATTTACATATATATACACACACATGTAGGTTTGAACTGCGAGGTCAGTGGTTCAATTCCACCAGCTGCTCCTCAAAAACTAACTCATCAGCACTTAATAACAAGGACATTCAAATACTTGATGGTTGTTAAGTGCCACTGAGTCAGTTCCGACTCAGTGACCTTACACAGGGTTTCAGAGTGGCTGATGGGTTTGAACTGCCAACCTTGTAGTGAGCAGTCCAGTGCTTATCCTTCAGCACCACAACTCCAATATTATGAGTTGTTGTTAAGTGCCGTCGAGTCGATTCTGACTCATAGCGACCCTGTATAGGGTTTCCAAGGAGCAGCTGGTGAACTTGAACCACCGACCTTGCAGTTCAAACGACTTTGCAGTCTGACGCATTAGCCCACAGGCCACCCCAGGAGTGCTTGTCCTTCAGTAGCACCAGTGCTCCAAGACGAAATGGCTATCATTCCAAAGGTGGCCTTGCCTTGGATTTTATATATATATATCCCTCTTCATTGCCTTTAAATTGCTGGAAAGTTTTGTTAAAACGAGTGCTTCCATCCTGGCATGCTTCCGACTTATTTGCAAATAAAATACAATTTTAATGCTTTACATTTCAGCTGGATGAGTTTTTTCCTAACTTTTTATTGTGAATTGAGCGAAGGTTGACAGAGAATAAAGATCATCAATTTTACAGCCAACAAATCACACACTGCATTTCATCTCAACAACTGCAATCCCCTCCACGCAACACCACGTATCTCATTTCCTCCCTAAGGTTCTTCTTTCCATTCCTCCTCGTTTCCTAGCCCTTCTGGATGCACTCTGGTAGAGAAACAGTGCTATCTGAAGATGATTTTAATGTATTCATGATCTTTACATTCTGTCAAATAAAACATGTACGTCCTGCAGGCAGTACGCTAGAGCTGAGAAAGGAAACGGGCACCTAGAGAGTGACTGCACCAGGGTGCCACTGTTCGCTAATTCTTCTCAAATCCCTACAGGGAGGTCACTGGAGTGCTGAGACATTTGTTTTGTTCAGTTTTCTTACAGAATCATTTCCTAAACTGGATTTGATAGTACCTGTTCATTTTCCTTAGAAAGCAAATGATATTTTTCTTTAACCAAGAAATTTTTCGATGGATCAATAAAAATCTGCAAAATCATTGTTCTTCTCATTAGCTCAACAGACAGCATCATCTCTTAATCTTATCCCAAACTTTACTGAACTCTGCACTGTGCTATCTCTGGCACTTTACACAAAACAGATCCAAAGTAACGCATATAAAAGATCACAAACAAGAAAAGTAGTTCTCAAGAGGTTCTCCTTCTTTATGTCTCCTTGCTGCTATATTAAAAGTGTTACTGGTGACAAATGAATTGTGAAACAGGTAATGTCATATGTTCTAGGTAAGCATGCAAATTGGCAAAGCCTTTTGGGAGGGAAATTAGACATTATGTACTATAGTTCGGTTTTGTTTTGTTTTGAGTCCTGTTGAGGCACTGTAGGATAAGCTCTGGACTGCTAACTACAAAGTTAGTAGTTCAAACCCACCAGTCATTCCTTGGAACCCTATACAAGGTTGTTATGTGTCAGAACCGATTCAACGACAAACAACTACAGTTTTTAATAAGCTAAAGCTTTGGCCCAGCAATTCTACCTCTAGGCATCCACATAGAAGAAATACTTTTATTAACTGCTATAAAGAAGCAATTTTACATAAAAGCAAAACATGAGAAACATGTTAAAGTATACTAGTAAAGGGATGATTAGCCAGTTTCATTGTTAAGTGCCACCGAGTCAGTTTCAACTCATAGCAACTGTATGCACAACAGAATGGCACATCGCCTGCTCCCTCCGCATCCTCACAATTTCTGTCATGCTTGAGCCCATTACTGCTGGCACATGGTCAATCCATTTCTTAGAGGAGAATCCAATGACCACTTAACTGAAAAGCTATTTACTCAGGATGCTGAGAATCAAAGTTGCCCCAAACTACACATTTACATTGTGGCGCTGTAGGATCAGCATTGGATTGCAAACCACAAGGCCAGCAATTCAAACCCACCAGTTGCTCCTCGGAAACCCTATACAGGGTCACTATGAGTCGGAACCGACTTGGCAGCACTTACAACAACTATCACCTTGAATTTACTTGATAGGGCTTTTCTATCCAATGCTTTCTTAATCCCACTAAGTGTTTGGGTGGGTGCACTATGCAGATAAGGTGTACAGGACTCTAAGGCTGGGATTGGTTAGTTTGGCCCTCCAGCTAGATTTCAAAGGAGCCATCTCAGAAGTAGGACAAGACGATCCCAAGGTCTTGGGATCAATAAAGTGGAGCATGAGATCCATACCTAAAACAGCAGCGGCAGCAGAGGTGGAGACATGGAACAGCTGTAGACATCTAAGCCCACGGTCTGAGTCAAGCTGAGCGTCTACAGGCAGGAGGTTGACATGCAGAATGTGCCCTGTGGACCTTTACAGACTGCCTAGAGGAGCGTGGTAACACTTGCCCAAGCAGGCCAGAGACTGTGGCCTCACATGGCTGAGAAGGCGAAGACAAGTGAGGCGTGTCTGCAATGTGGCAGACAAGAAGCGTTCCTGACTGGAGGACTGCTGTGTCCTGAGTTATTCTCTGATCCTGAATTGTACCCTGTTCATTTCCCTGATAACCTCATCATCGTGAGTACTGTTATGAGCTCTGTGTGGCCACTGCAATGCATTACCAACCCAGATGTGAAGCAGAGTGCTATGGAAGGGATGGTTGTTGTCAGAATAGGGGAAAGAAGGTAGTAGGGTGGAAACATGTCTGACCTCGGCTTCATAGGAATTGGTCTTGGACCGATTTTGAGTTTGACCCTCTTCCCCTCTGTGAAGCCAGGGGCAGTCAGACATGGCCCCACATAGCTTCTGCATACATGAACATTAGACTTTTCAACACTTCTGTATAGAAATCATATCTAAGAAAGTGATCCACAGTAATTCCACCCCCTCCAAAATTCTCTGCACAAAACACACTTTGTTTTTTGGAGGATAATTAACACAAGACAACTATATTAAGTATAAATGAAATTCAAACACTCAGGAATAACTATTCCAAAGATGAAAAGTTTTGTTTAAAAGCACCAAGAAAGTGCATACCCATTTTCTTTCTTCTACTTTGCTGTCTGCTAAAATTTGGGCTTGGAAGCTGAAGTGAAGACCCATTCCGAAACGCATTCTGGATGCCATCCTTAGATCCATGTAAGAAATGCGCTAAAATCCCATATAACAGTGGTCTATACAGCAGGGAGAAAAGAAAAATCAATGACATTTTTACAAATAGAAAAAGGTTAAAATATTTGTCTTTTAAAAGACAGCCTTTGATATTAAAGCAGCCACGCAATTCAGGAGACTGGAAACAAAGGCAGTGTAGTCATATTACCCACTCTGCTTTTACGTCAGGACACCACTGAACTGACAATGGTTAAACCCTGAGAAAACAAGGTCACAATTAAAACCTCATCTAAACAGAAATACAGTTTCAATCACTTCACAGGAATTCCACTTTAAAACCCCAATGTTCAGTACAATTCACAATGCTGTGTCTGCAGGAGCCCGGATGGCGCAGAGAATATTCAGATGAGGCTTTCTGCTTTAGCCTCGGAAACCCTCTAGACTCACTATGAGTTAGAATTGACTCAGTGGCAGGAGGTTTGGTGTTTTCTGGTGGTGACGGCGGTTAACTTTGTCTGAAAGGAGCCCTGGTGGTGCATGGGTTAAATGTTAGGCTGCTAACTGCAAAATTGGCAATTCAAAGCCACCAGCAGCCCTATAGGAGAAAGATGAGGCTGTCTGCTCCTGTAAAGATTTATAATCTCAGAACCCCTAAGGAGCAATTCTGTGCTATCCTACAAGGTCGCTGTGAGTCGGAGTTGACTCGGCAGTGGGTTTGGTGTTTGGTTTTGCTCCATAGGGCTGCTAACCACAGGGTCAGAGATTCAAACCCACCGAGCGCTGTGCAGGAGAAAGGTGAGACTCTCTGCTCTGTAAAGACTGAGTCTTGGAAACCCTTTGGAGGCAGTCCTACTCTGTCCTACCAGGCTGCAATGAGCCAGAAGCTGTTGGACGACAGTAGTTTTCTGGTTATCTGATACTCAACAGGTGCTCACTAAATGCCACCTGAATTCATGAAATTTTTGCCCAAAGAAAGTCAAGTGTCCCAAAGTCAAACTGCCTGGGCTCAAATCCTGGCTTTGCCACATAGCAGCTATGTCACCTTAGGGAAATTTCTCAACTTGCCAAGCTTCGCATTCCACCTCTAAGGAGGCGAATCAATCCCAACCTCACAGGATTGTTATGAAGACTAAACAAGCTAATCCACATCAAATATTAGAACTGTGATTGTCATTTAGTAAACATCAGCTATATAAAAGTTGGATACAAGTTAATATTTTAAAAGCTACTAAACACTTTTGTTTCTCTTGTCTTTTTATCCCTACCTTCGGATAGAATCATCACCCCAATGAATAACCAAGCCCACCACAGCTCAGAGAGGGTTTGGTTTGCTAGAGACCCTCAGGTGAAGAGGAAACCAAGTTCATAGAGATTTTGGATTCCAGTTCCCTGCATCTTTCTCTTACTCTACACCACCCGGATCGTTCTACCAGCACCTCTCTCTCTCCCGTGGAAGCTCTCCACTGGTAATAATGAGAGGTGCAGCCGAATCCTTACTGTCTCCAACCTCATCACTGAGCATTCGTGGACTGACTTATCAGCGCTCTGATGCTCCCCTGAAAAGGTGGAACCTAACCGAGTGTGTGTGTGGCTTCAGGGACTCGCTCACGGGAGACATGCAGCATTCTTGTTGCTCGCTCTCTTGCATTATGTTTTTGAGAAAACCCAGCAGCCACGTTGTGAGGACACTACCAGAGTCCTATGAGTTTGAGAAACAAAGTCTTAGATAAGAGAGTAATCAACTAGCATCCTGGAAATAAAGCTGTTAGTTACTTCATCAACGTACTCCTTAAAATTTCAAACAAATATCTCAAACACTACCAGGAAGCCATTAAGAGTTGCTCATTTCCATATGGGAGGAAGAGTAGTATAGACATATGTACATATACATATATGTAGTTTTTTAATAGAATAACGGTATATGATTATTTATTACTTTTCCTACAAATACAACTATGAATGTGGTGGAGCACACAGCAGGCAAAATAATGAAGACTTCCTAGAGTCTATGAAACATCCTAAGGCGATGAGTAGCTTGGGCCTAGGAGCTCAGGACTATAGTCTCTGGGAACAACATGGTCAACTGGCATAACATGGTCCACAAGACAATGTTCTACACCTTACTTTGGTGAATAATGTCTGGGATAGCAAGAGCTCATGAGCAGCTGTCTACGGTGCACCTATCGCTCTCTCCATGTGCAGAAGAAAAAAGAGTGATGAGAATTGAAGATGCCTGGATTTGTCCAACAGATTACTAGAACATGTGACCGTTAGTCGCCACGACTTGGAGACCAGAAGAACTAGATGGTGTTCAATGACCACTACCAATTTCGTCGAAAACAATCACATTAGAAGGTCCCAGAAAAAGC